TACTGAGGATATATAAAAACGACTGATGGAGCAGGAGGCAGTGTTTTGCAGCTCACAGGGTTTTTCTTTGTCTTGCACTCTGCAGTGAACCTCCCTGTGAGCGCAGAGCAAACACATAGCAAGCTGTGGCATAGGGATGAGAAATGAGATGTTCCTGGCTAATCATTTCTTGGGGGGGTAGGTGATGGTGGAGCAAGAACTGGTGAGAGATTATTTCTGTTTGAGTTGGGTTGCTGTTCCCTGGCTTTCAGAATGGGGCTTAATGCATTCTGTATTTGAGTGAGGTTTTCCAGGAGTGACTCTTCCCTGCAGCTGAGCAAAGGCTGGAGGCAGTGTGAAGAGGCAGCTCTTTAATTAACATGGAGAATGCTTTTGTGATGATCCACATCTGCTGTCCTTTAACACCACTGTCTGCAGCCAAGCCTGCTGGTGACTGAGAGTGCTCTGAGTGCATCAGGCAGTTAAATGCATGCACGAATAAATCCTTGTGGTGTGGGACTTGGTAGTTTGTCACTGACCATTTTGTATAGTTAAAAATGCGCTGTTAGTGCCAAAACAGGCACATCTGCCTGGGTGTTTGTAAACTGTATAGAAAGACACGTGGGGGGAATGGTTTTGTGCAAATTTTGAGGAGAGGTGGGCTGGCTTCGTGGGAAACCCAGCTCAGAAGCCCAGGGGCTGAGGTACTGCTTCAGCATTTCTTTGGAAAACAAAGTGAGCTTGCAGATCTTAATCAGCGCTTTTGAGCTGGTGCCCCTGTCGCAAAAACTGCGGGAAGAGATAAGGTTCTGGTCCTGGTAAACAAGATAATTCCATCAGGAACTGCTGCAGTGCTGATGTCTGTGGGAAGCTGCCTCTAGGCTGACTACATGAGAACGTTTAATCTCATTTTACTCGTTTTAATCTCAAATTAAGACACAGTGAGAATTTAGATGTTGTCATCGGAGTCTTTATTCTCTTTCTAAGCAATATGTTTTTCCTTCATTTTTTATTTAGCTGCCTTTGACTTGTAGCTCTTTAAAAGGTTTTTGAAACTTCTCACATGTTTCTGAAAGTTACTTTGGTACCTGAAGTGTTAACATAAGTAATCTTTGGGTTCCTCTGTAGAATGCTGTACTTCTTTCATGACCTTTGGGGAAAAAAAAAAAAAACAAAAAACAAACAACCCTAAGTGGAGAAAAGTTATTGCTTTTGTGAACCCCAAATCACATTGGTCAAATGCAGTTTTAGAGTAATTCATCTCTGCTATGGTTTTCTGCTGTTCATACACATCGAGGCCTCAGTTTCTCTAAATACCATAACACAGAAAAGAGGGGTCATAGCAGTGGGAAGTGTCTCTGCTACCAAATGAGTTTAAACATTCAGGCTTACAGCTCTTATTTCTTTAAAATAACCAGAATGATTTACTGCCCCTTCGCTTAATGGTTGGTGACTTAAATCAGTTTGCACAAACTATGGTTTAAGTTCCTTGGGGACTTTGAATGTAATTACTCCTGTCCTTTTGTCAAAATAAGAACTATTTGAGACTGTTCTTCCCAGCTACTTTGTGAAGCAGGAGGTGGGGACCTGTGTACAAATGGATTTGTTGTGGTTTGGATGGGGGAGAGGGGTTTTGAGGTGAAGGGCTGCAATGAAAACAGGGAGTTCTGTTTTCTTTCTTTACTGCTCCTTTCTGTGTGCTGCTGTTTCACTGTCCTGGACTTCATTTGTTGGCCACAGCAAGAAGAAGCCCCCAAAGGAGGGATCAGGAGCAGGCACCTCCCCAGTGTGCCCTTATCCTCGCTTTCCACGGGATCCTCTCTCTTTATGGGGGGTGAGGGGAGTGGTGTGGCTGGGATGGGTGCCGTGGAGTTGGGTGGTCTGAACAAGTGCCAAGCACGAAGTCCCTGCCAGGGAAAGCTGCCTGCTTGGTTAACACCATTATTTCTGCAAGTGAGAATTGTCTACACTCTCATAAACAGATTATACTTGGGCCTATTCTGCCTGGCATGTTCCTGCTGTGGAAATTATTTCAGTTAGAGAGGAGACGTGTCTACATGTAAAACATTTTCGAATGAAGTTCTTAAGCTTGTACAATTCCTGATATGGACAAAACTGTACCTGTGTGAGTTGCCTCCCTTTCAGATGGGAGCTGTCGAGGCTGGAACTCAGCTTTTGCTCAGCTGCTGTCATTTACTCAGTGCAACCTCATTTGTGCTGGCAGTTACAATTTGGGATGGCTCTTACAAGCTGGGCCTTGCTGGTAATTCTGTTTTGCTCTTGTGCTGATAGCTTTATAGTTCCAAGAACTCGAAACAATTGCATTGAAATTTTTGCTTGTTATGTCTTCCTGATTTAACATCCACGGTGACACGAGTAGGAGCGGGATAGATTCAGGTCTCATCTTTGATTCGCAAGGCTGGGGCCATATAAAACAAGTTCCCTGTAGTGGGTACATTGCTGTAGCTTGGAGCCCAAGTGCTGGCCACTGCAAGAAACTTAAAAACTGCGAGGGCTGGGTGGTGCCCAGGGTTTTGTGAGATCTCTCCTGCTCTGCAGAAGTACTGGTGTTCCAAAATACGTGTGGAGATCCCCCCTCCTTCTCTCTTTCAGGTGTACCACGTCTCTTCAGACAGCTACGAGACACAGAACCAACACTATGGAAGGAACCTGACCAAGGAAACAGTAAAGGATGGTAAGGGAATTCGGGTGTCTCTTGGATATTTTTCATTTATTTGCTTATTTATAGAACTGGATGGAAAAAGCAGCCTGTGTGTGCAGGCCATAGGAATTTCCTCCTCACATCTCTTTTAATACTAATAAGGGGGTGATAGTTGTAGAATTCAACTTTGCAGCTTTGAAACTATAATGAAATAGAAATATTTTCAAAGTATTAAATGTTTGTATAATATGTTATATTTTTTTTTTTTAAGTCTAGTTGTCTTCTGTGAATATTTAAGTGTCTTTTATATCAGAAAGCTACTACCAGTGCGTCTTTCAGTTCTTCTCAGTGGAAGTCAATCCACGTGTTGCTCTGCATTAATCAGAAACAAAAATGCTGCCATCATACAGCTGTTTGGTGATGACTAATGCAAACTGCTTATTAGTTGACACCTTTCAGAGGCGAAAATAATCCCAAAACGCGTCTTATTTCTTGCAGGCATCTCGAAGTTTTTCCACAGTGGGTACTGCCTGAGGAAAGATGTGGTAGCTGCCAGCATTCAGAAGATTGAAAAGATTTTGGAGTGGTTTGAGGGCCAGACTCAGCTCAACTTTTACGCCAGCTCGTTGCTTTTCGTCTACGAGGGCTCGTGCCAGGCGACAACCGTGCGGCTGAACGACGTCACCTTGGTGGAGAAGAGAGGGGTACCCAAAGTGCTGTCGGGTGGAGATGTACTGGAGTGTAACAACAACATTCACGTCATAAGTTCTACGGAGAACGGAAAAATCGAAGCCTCCGTAAGCAAAGGCTTGTCCAAATTTTACGCACTTCACAAAAAGTCGTGCTCCAAGAGGCACCACGGTCAGCTCTCGCTGAAAGTTGAAAACCTGGAGCAGGGCAGCGTGTGGAAAAGCGGCACGTGCATTGCCCAGGAGCACCTGAACGGAAACGTTCTACCCCAACTGGAAAAAGTTTTCTATCACATGCCAGCAGAGACCAAGGAGAGCGCAAACGTCGAAGTCCGAATGATCGATTTCGCTCACGTGTTCCCCAGCAACGCGAAGGATGAGGGCTACATTTACGGCCTGAAAAATCTAATCACAGTACTTCAAAATATTTTGGATAACTGAATTCTTTGCTATGTTTTTTTTTTTTTTTTTTTTTTTAATCGGGGCCAATGGTAAAGAGCAACAACGTGAAGAATTTCTGCACTTGTAATGCTGTATACTGGGTTTGTATTGTTCTATATTTTATTTGTCTTTGTACTTTTGGTAGAAGGGTTTAAACTTTTTATAATTTCACTCAGGAAAATAATTGATAGCTAATTAGGGAGTGTGAAAGGATGAAGATACTGGAGATATAAAGCAGGATAGGTAAATGAATGGAATGAAGTGTGTGTGGTTGTCTTAAATCCGAGGACAACCAGAAGCAGGGGTTATGTTGGTTCCTATAATGACTTTAGCATAGATGACATTTGCCCACTTAGCCTTGACACTGAGCCTCATCTCCATTAACAGGTGTTTAGAAAATAGACTGAAAGCTGTAAGGTGCAGGATGGACGTCCTCAGCACTGCCTTTGTGTTTACTTGTGTTTGAATAACTGGAGTAACCCTGCTTGGAGAGAAATCCCGTGCTGAGTCAGCAGTCTGATGCCTGAAGCGTCAAAAAGTGTCAGGGGCAGATACTGCTGTTCTTTCAGCTCTGAAGGGGGCCCTTCCCCCTTTGTGGGTGTTTATAGCCAGCGTTCCCCGCAGATGATTGACCGCGTAATTTGTGTTGAGGTGCTAAGAAAATGCTGGAGTAAAATTCCTTAAACAGGCTTAAACTGCACAACTTCTAGAGAAACTGTTAGTTCCTAAGGAAGAGCAAAAAGTATGCAAATGCAAAATATTCCAGGAAGTAATTTTGTTTTAGGAGATTAAGTCAATCAGTTAATGGAGTGTCTGATGCTGTGATTAAGGGAAATGCCTCCTCACCCTGCTGTTCTCACGCCCCTTCTCCAAAAACGTCGCTTTAAGAGGCGAACGAACGGAACAGAGGAGCAGAGCGTTCTGAGTAAGCCTCTTGCCTTCTTCCAACGAGCATTTCCCGCCTCTGCTGCCGGGGAGCACCGACTTGGAGCCGGGAGCAGCACAGGAGAAGGACTCACCTGTGGAGATGGTTCGGCCCCGGAGCCACCGGCTGTGCCACCGCTCGTGCCAGGGGAGCTGTGGCTCTCCCACCCCGGGCTACAGCACCCACTGGCTTCTTTTAATGGCACACAGTGCAATTTGAGAGTTGGGGGAAAAAAAAAATCAAGCTGTTTTACAGAATCCTCGCGATCAGATTGCGCTGTGTTGGCGGCCGTGCCCCCACGCGCGGACGGGGAGCGGAGCTGTTTGGAATGTGGGGACGGCCGAGCCTTGCCCCGCCTGCAGAGCGAGATTTTATTGCTTCAAAAAGCAAGCCCCAGGGAACTGAAACGTTTTGGGATGGTCGTTGGAAACGTGTGTTCTTTTCCGCGTGGACTTAACCCTGAGCCTGTGACCTCGCCACTCTCTCTGCACAGCGTTCTGCACTCGGCTTGGCAGGTTCTTCATCTGACACCCGTTTTCTCTGTGGGAAAGGAATTCATACCTTTCCAAGCAAACAGGCTGTTTTTTTTTTTAAATAAAGCTGAAGTTTTTATTTGAGAACGTGGGTTGGTTGGAAGGAACAGGGTATGGCTGTGTGGTAGAACGACAGTGTTTTAACTTTCAGAGCTCGCCTTGGCCAGAGCATTCAGGAATGAAAACAACTGTTAGTAAAATGTTTTTGGAGTGTGGGAAAAGGGGCTTGCAGAATGGGGGGTGGGGGCAGTATAATTTTGTTGACAATTTCATGCGAATTACAGTGAAGGCTGAGGGGAAAGTACCAGAAAGAAAGGGACTTTTTTTTTTTTTTTTTTTTTTCCTGCCTGGTGTTTCTCTTGCACCATATAGTTAATATATTCCCCAATCTCTATGAATTAATTTAAGCCATATCCTAGAAAGAGTTTGTGGTTTTGTTTGCTTTGATGCTGGTTTCTCTGTTATGATTTTGTTGTTCTATCCCATAACACTAGAGTAGTTCAGGCTTAAGTGGCCTTGTATGATGAATTTACAAGGTTTTATAGAAAATACGGGCAACATCATCATTCCTGTCCTCTGTAATTCATCTCTTCCGGATTTTAATCCATTTTGTGCCAGAGAAAATCATACATTTGCCTCAAAGAAGTCAGTTATTAGAAAATTACCTGTATGCTCTTGGTACCACGCACTGTCCTGTTTCTGCTTTAGGATAAACTTCCTCAGTGTTTGAATGCTCTTTTTAAGTATTGATTGTTTCGTTGGCTATGGCAGTGTTTGTAATGCACCTGGAATATTGTCAACCTGTCAGAATATTTTGAATAAAAAAATTAATTTTATCATGGTTTTTTTTTTTGTCCCAGTAGTTATTATGAATGTTAATTTAAAAACGTAACTTGAGAGATAATAGTATTTTTTTGTTGGAAGTTCTGTAAATAAAGCTTGCTGTAGAGGTGTTTGAGCGTAGTACCTACCAGCTGTGAGTCTAAGCCTGCAAAGCCCTTCTATTTACATTTTTCTTGCACATTTTAGACTTGATGTCTCTGGTGTCTCGTATCTGATCCGATTGTTTTCAGGTGCAGCTGGAGATGCATTCACAGAAATCATTCAACAGAATATTTTAAGCAATAAGACCTGGGTTTGGCAAAGCTGACTGTCAAAAGGGAAGGCTCGTGCAGCGTTGTCACTCTTGGACACTATAATGTGCTTTTGAAGCCCTTTCTGCCTAGGTGACCTAGGAGAAGTGTGTGTATAGGCTTACCTAAGGTTTGTATAAAGTTTTATAAAAAAAAGCATTTACATATATGGTATTTTTGGATATGGTGAAACTTGTTGCATAAACGACATTGGGATTTATTATACCGCTATGAAATGTTTAAAATATTTTAATCGATTCGTTTTATGAACTGAACTGGAGACTTTGCTCGTAGTTGTGATTCATGTGAAACTTCTACTGTTCTTTTTTTCCTACTGTACTGCATAGCCAGCGTTCTTTTCCATAACCTCACAATTTCATGGAGAACTTTTTAAGTCCTCAGTAGATTAGGAAACCACTAATTTCCAGTAGCTTGGTTGACAGAGTGCATATGTTCTTGAGATACTTCAGTGCACACGGTATTTTGAGTAATGTTAATATGTCACACATCTAGAGACCCTGTGAAACTTCCTCACCTGCAACAGAGCTCCTGCTCTGATTCAACTGGGCTGTCAGATGTAGGAAGACACCGGAGGAGCAGCGATTGCATCCACACCTGCTGCTTAAAGTTATGATTAGCTGTTCATCCTCCTCATTTCTCCTGGGTTTCTTTCCTCCTGTGAGTGAGTGCCTTCTTTGCCCTTGCCCTTCTTCCTTCTGTAGCATCACAGTGGGATGTTTTAATGGAAGATTCTTATTTCCTCAAAAAGCTCGTGCCCCATAACTGCTCCTAAAGTGCTGGTCTTTCAGAATGCCTCAGGTAATGTGTGAGTGCACACTCTGGAAGTGCAGGAGTGGCTGCCAGCGGGAGGTGGGAGTGGATGCCAGTGGGGGATGCTTGGATGGAAGGCTGGATTGGACGCTTTATGAAACTTTCCACCTGGGCTTTGAAGAGGAATTTTTTGGAGGGGGGCAAGGTGAGTAACAGCTGAACTGCACTGGGGTTTTCCTTCCTTTGCTACAGTTGGTGTTGAGCTCTGGAAGGGGGAATGGGGAGAGTTCCTGGGGAGGACTGAGCAGGTGCCTTGCAGGGAGAACGTGCTGTTGGTGGGGTTACCGTAGGATGGGATCTGGGAAGTGTGTTCATCTCCACAGGCCAAACCCTGCCTGTGTTCACGTCCAGAACAATGTGGAATGGATGCTGCAGGAGAAAATTATCATCCAAAGGGGAAAATTAACAAAGCAAAGGGTTGTACAGCAGAAAAGGTGTTTCAGCAAGTGTCTTTTACTCCGGTCTTGTTTGGGGGAGGTGGGCCCTGTGAGTTTGGAATTTGCCACGTGACATTGAGTAGCAAAGGGTCAGAACAAAGGTATTTCAAAACAGCCTTAGTTTGAATTGTGTACCTTGGTTCAAATAGTTTTTTGTTTGTTTGTTTGTTTGTTTTCAAAAAAAGTGACCTATGAAGTAACTTCCAAATACGAGGTGTGTTGCATCTGATTCTAGATGAAACTAAGAGTGCACAAAGGCACTTTATTCCTCTGGGAACTGTACTGGAAAGTAGATGAAAGCATGTGAAACTTGCACCTGATGCTGTGCTGTTGATTGTTTTTAAACTCTTAGAATTCTACGTTAATTAACGCTTGATGGATGAATGTATTTAGTCCAGTCTGGTCTCAGTTTCTTTGATTCAAGTGTCTAAAGCCACCCCTCAATCTTCTCTGTATGTGTTTGTAATTTCATTTGTTGTTTTCTGCCATTCTTGGACCATAGGAGGTATTGTTAATATTACCCGTGTTTATTTTATGGGACATTGTACTATGCTATCTACCAACTTTTGTAACTTGAGAAGTGATATTTGGGGTCATTCTAAAAGCTGTATATTTGGCAAATTATTAAAATTTTCTGCAAGCGACTTGCAAGTATAATTGGTTTTTTTATACTGCAGGAAGGTGGTTGAGAAAATGTTTTCTTGGAATATACCTGCACTCACTCTCCCTCTTTCCCTCTTTCTCTCTCCCTCTTTCTCCTCTTTTTTTGTGTACTCTATAAAATCGGTGTTTCCACTGGATTTCCCACGTTTGCTTTGCCACCATATGTTTGTGACAGCATCCATTGCCATTTTCTTGTTGGGAATGTGTGTTTGTACACCAGAGTCAGCTCTATAAAATAAATAAAACCAAACCCAAATCTGTACACCATAAAGCCCCCAAAACACAACTTGTTGTTTTTGAACAAAACCCCTCTTTCCTGCCAGGAGGTTACTTCTCTGAGTGGAAAAAGTATTGGAGAAGACAAAGCCATCCCTCTAACTGGGACACAGAAAAAAAAAAAATAATCATGAATTTGGGACAGGTCAGGGCTCAGTGAACACCTAGAAAATGGCAGTTTTCCCCCAGAAGGGTCAAAAACCTGCAGGTTGTCCTTAATGTTTGATTGAAAGCTGGGAAACTGCAGCTGAAGGGTGTCGGGGCTACCTTGATTTTTCTCCCTGCCCTTACAGGTGTTGCTTGGCAGTTATGAAAGGCAATGAAATGAAACAGCTGATGGGCATCACGGTTGTAATTACATTGGAACACCTGATGCCAATTAAGAGTTACTTTCAGGCACCGTTCAGGGGTACTTAAGCACTGTGCCTGCGGTTACCTTGGGGTGTGGAGCGTGGCACTTGTACTTTGTGTAAATTTTTGAGTAAATGAATTAAATTCTCCATGCGGAGCATCTGCATTTAAAATTCCCATAATCCTTTAAACTTATCCTGGAAAGCATTTAACGGGAGAGGCAGTTTAACCACCAGAGGGTGTGCGTGTTGTTGGTTACAAGGCGTTTTGCATCCACCATCGGGTCCTGGATTCTGAAAGCCTGCAGGAACTGCCTTACTGCCTCACTGTAAGTTGGTTTGGAGGGGTAGGGTGGTGTTTGTTGGGTTTTGGGGTTTTTTTTGGTGTTTAATGTGTTGTCTTGCTTGTCTGCCAAAGGCTTTGTAAATGTGTTCAGTAGCCTTAAGTCCTGTCCTGTGGCTCTGTGTAGCCTTCCTTCCCACCCTCCAGAATTGAAGAAATGATGGAAAACTGGCAAAAAAGCACAGTTTTGTGAGGATCTAGTTTTGTGTGAATTTTAGAATTAAGAAATGAATAGTGCTATATAATTGAAGAACCCTCTAAAAAAAACCCCAAAATCCCTATTTCCTTGGTTTAAAGTGAAGGAGGAATTTGTGCTCCTTCATCGCCTGCTCCCATCACTTATATCAGTGGAGCTGCAGGTTGAGCTCTGTGGGATCAGTAGCCCGAGGCAAGAGGCCATCAACTGCTGACCCTGTGCAAAGCCAAGCCAGAAACA